AAAAAAAAAAAAAAGAAAGCACATAATAATGAAGTAGAACTTTTCAGTCCTTAAAGTATGGTGATTATCTTTTTGTAGTATTGCCATCAAGGTCTTCGTCTGGAGAGTTTCTGTTGGGGGGGAGGAAGACCAGGAAAGTTATTTTTCGTGATCTGTTAGAGGAATTGTACCTTCTACTTCACTTTCTCCTCACAAAGGCTACAATACTGAGCTAGTCTTCTGTACGCACAGGGCAATCTGGAAAATGACGTATTTGTCTGCAAAATATCTCCCAGGAGTGTAGGAGTACGTTATAGACATCTGTGGTACCATGTACTTCAGATACAAAGAAATTATGTGTATTTTTGTGTGTTTGATAGCAACGGTATTTTAGAGCAAACACCCAAGTTCACAGAAGTGATGCTTGGCATTTGCCCCTAATTGCTTTAGTTATTAATGATAATTGCCATATAGGCTTCTTTCATTAATTCGTTCTACACAGGGCTTTGAGCTGCAGTGATAAGGCAGGATGCTCAGTTTAAATGGAATAAAATAGTCCCTGAGTGTAGTCGGTTGGAGAAAGCCTGGTGGCATAGTGGTTTACATGCTGGTCTAACCACAAGGTCGCCAGTTCAAATCCATCAGCTGCTCTGTGGGAGAAAGATGAGGATTTCTGCTCCTGTAAAGATTTCAGCCTTAGGAACCTTTAGGTGCATTTCTACTCTGAAGGCTCCCTCTGGATTGGAATTGACACCCATAGTAATGGGGTTTTATTTGGGGTGGCAGGAAGTACACAATAAATGGGAAATTGTGATAACAGATGAGTACATAGTAGCCCAGGTCTTGGATTTGGGCAAAGTTCCCTGGAGAAAGTGATGTCTGTGTTGATCTCTTAAGCAGAAATGAGCCAGGTAATTTGGGGAAGAAAGGATATTCCAGGTAAGAAACTATTTTTAAAAAGGCAAGAAAACACTAAATACAGGAAACCACACATTTCAGCATGCTTAAAAGGAGAGGCAGGACTCATATGAAATGTGACCAGAGAGTGAAGTAGTGGCCGTGTGTGAAGGAGCTCGGGAGCCATGTCCGATTATGAGAGTGAACTTGAGAAGAAGATTTACTTGGGTTCTCAGTATTCTTATAGGTGGCGTAGCATAGCTGGAAATTATTAAAATCTCATTGTCAGAAATAAGACGAAGTTTTTAACAGTCTATGGGTAATTCATTTAAGTTATTCCTAACAGGTGAATTAAAGCCCAAATTCTTTTTGCAGCTGAAAGCTTTGATATTTGCGAAGTAGACAAAATGTAGTGTCGCAGATCTGAACTGTTTTTATCAGGGAGCCTTGGGTCTTGAAAGGAGCCCTGGTAGCACAGTGGTTACACATTGGGCTGCAATCCACAAAGTCAACAGTTCAAAACCAACAGGCATTCCAAGAGAGAAAGGGCTATCTACTCCTATGAACAGATACTCTCTTAGAAATTCACAGGGCAGTTCTACCATGCCCTATAGGGTCTTCACGGGGCGGTTCTACCGTGCCCTATAGGGTCTTCATGGGGCGGTTCTACCATGCCCTATAGGGTCGCCGTGAGTCACCATTGACTCTGTGGCAGTGAGTCTTGGGTCTTGAAAGAGATATTTTCTTCATTGCCTTACAGTTATTCTGTTCTCTTTCTATTCCTCCACTTCGAGTTTGTAATCATTCTTTTATCCCCAAACTTAGGTACTCAGATTATGTTAAATAATTGAATCATAACTCTCTTGGAAATTGTTGCTCAGCGTTTTGTCTTCTTTCTAGGTCCTAGGCTGGACTTTGACCCTGACATTGTTGCCGCTCTTGACGATGATTTTGACTTTGACAATCCAGATAATGTGCTGGAAGATGATTTTATTCTTCAGGCCAACAAGCCAACAGGAGAGAAAGAGGGAGTGGGTATATAGTAAGTGTGGAAATGATCCCTTACTTCTTTGGGGTCTTAATTACAGCTGGGAGACACCTTTCAAAAATACTTCAGAGGATTGTTATATTTTAGAGTAGAAAATGTAAGATTCAAGGCTTTCTTTATAAGCCATTGAGAGTTGGAGGGTAAAGTCCTGTTTCAGTTTGCCATCTCATGGCTTTCTTACCAGTCTAGGTAGATTGATTAGCATTACCATTCCTGCCTCCAAAACCCATTGTATTTCCCTGTCCCGTGTTTGTGTTGGTGTCTGGGGAGGTTTTAACCATTTATTTCTATCTGTACCTTTAGTAATGCCGAGGCTGAAGATGACAGTGAGTGGGAAGATGTGGATGATGAGGACAGAAATGGTAGTGACCATGATTACGCTGACTCTCAAGGAACACTGTCATCCGAAGATGATATGTCTGTCTCGGGCAAACTCGATGGCGCTTTAGAAAAGAACTTGTTCTGGGAAGAGGAAACCAAAAGTCGCTTCACAGATTATTCCATCACTTCCTCAGTCATGAGGAGAAATGAACAGCTGACCCTACACGATGATCGGTTTGAGCAGGTAAGGGCCCGGAATAGGGAACTTCTGATACTGGCTCCCAGCAAGTTTTTACATGTGCTTGTAACCAAACCTTAAAACTTCCAGAATTAGAAAAATAATACTACTAATAAACTGTCAGTATTGGAACAGCCTTTCTCTTCACAAACACCATCGGAGTTGTCCTTTTAGAAGTAACGTGCCATCAAAAGAGTTCGCTACCCAGGCTTCTGGATTTTCCTTTTAGCGTCCGGACATACTGATTATGAGCTGCTTTTGACCAGGGCTTTGGAACTGACCATTCCACAAAAGCAAAATCTGAACACCAAGATTTGTAAACTGGGGGTATAAAAGAATGGGGAAATTGCAGCTCCGTGCCCTGTTAGACACTGGTCTCCCTCTTAGAAAACAAGGGCAGCATTTACATTGCATAGCAACCAACTTTCTGGACCAGCAGAGTCTGAAACAATAGTACCCGGTTCAAAGATGGCTGTTGAGTGTACGGATTGGTGTGCCACAGTACTGACAGTAATCCCAGCTCCCACTTTAGGCATCCTTAAAAAGGATCACCACTCCTTTTCTGAGGACTTCAATCCTTAATTGTTCCCATTCTGGTCATCGTTTGAGTACA